AACACAGATAGCTACAGATAGCCACAGATACAGATAAACACAGATAGCAACAGATAGCTAAAGATAGCCACAGATAGCTACAGATAAACAGATAGCCACAGATAACTACAGATAGCTAAAGATAGCCACAGATAACTACAGATACCCACAGATAGCTACAGATAGCTAGAGATAGCCACAGATAACTACAGATAAACACAGATAGCCACAGATAGCTACAGATAGCCACAGATAAACACAGATAGCCACGGATAACTACAGATACAGATAAACACAGATAACTACAGATACAGATAACTACAGATACAGATAAACACAGATAGCCACAGATATAGATAACCACAGATAACCACGGATAGCTGCAGATAGCCAGGATAGCAGTAAATGGGACAGGGTTAGGGTTCTCTACGTGCAGAGGAAAACACGTTCAACTCTGTTTTTGTAAAGTTGATCTGAAACGAGCGTCTCTGAATCTTTGATTGTTTATAAAGTTTGACTGCGACTGAAATGTTTTTAAGAAGCTTCCTGTTGACACTTTGAACAGAGGAGAAAACGTTTGTGCCATTAAGATGTGAAGGACTGTTTACACTGGATTCAGTTTGATCCAAACTGAGTTAAACCAGTTTAGCTGGATTAAATTAGAATAAAATAGTATATCTTGGTTTGAACCGCATTCAACTGGTTTAACCAGGATTAAACTGGTCCTATTTTAATTAAAACAGTTATAAATGGAGTAAATTGGAATAGGATGGTTTAACTGGATTGAACCTGATCCAACTGGTTTAAACAGGATCAAACCAGATTAAACTGGTTCAGACTGCATTCTACACGATTACAGTTTTAAAATGGATGAAACCAGATGTAATGGTTTGGACTGGTTGAGGTGATGGAGCTTGTTGTTCGTAGATACTTGAAGTTTAAAATAAATGAGAGTATTTTTGTAAGCCTGTTAGCAGATAGAAACGTCTCTGATGAATCTGTGATATATTTTTCTTCTTTTACTCCGTTTCTGAAAATGTGGAATAAAAACATGATTCATGAAACCTCCAGTTGTTTACAGGTGAATCACTTCCTGCCTAATACCAGGTTCAATGAATGAGAAACAACAGGTCAGGATGTTCAGATATTTAATGAGGTGAAAACAAACAGGAAGTGACAGAAAATATTTACAGTTATTGGCATCATAGATGTTTGTGAAACAAACTAAAACAGGTGAACAGAGATTGGAGCAGCAGGATTTCTCACTCTGTAGTCAGGTATAGAAGGTGAGTCATCTGTATCATGGTTATTCATCTATGCTGTTCTCTTGGTAACGTGCAATAACACATTAAAATGTAACTCAGCTTTGGAGATAATGTAACAACAACAACAACAACAACAAAAGTGTCAATAAAGTTCATGATTGATAAGTAATGATATAAAAACAGAGATGCTTCATTCACGCTGCTGTATATCATCATCAGAGATAGGAGTGAGAGGGGAGAGCTTCACTCTGCTGTATATAATCATCATCAGAGATAGGAGTGAGGGGTGAGAGCTTCACTCTGCTGTATATAATCATCATCAGAGATAGGAGTGAGAGGGGAGAGCTTCACTCTGCTGTATATAATCATCATCAGAGATAGGAGTGAGAGGGGAGAGCTTCACTCTGCTGTATATAATCATCATCAGAGATAGGAGTGAGAGCTTCACTCTGCTGTATATAATCATCATCAGAGATAGGAGTGAGAGGGGAGAGCTTCACTCTGCTGTATATAATCATCATCAGAGATAGGAGTGAGAGGGGAGAGCTTCACTCTGCTGTATATAATCATCATCAGAGATAGGAGTGAAAGGTAAGAGCTTCACTCTGGTTCATTTCTTGAAGAACTTTTTGTTGAGAAGGAAGATGAGCAGGTTTACGTTGATCTTCGCTTTGTCGAACATCTTCATCACCGCCACGCCTTCATACTGCAGCTGCAGCAGGTCCTAAACAAACACAGGTTTTAATAACATTGCATTTATTGTGCTGTGCTCAGTATTTAGCTCAGTATCTGGCCTGGTTCAGCTCAGGATCTGGCTCAGTATTTAGCTCAGTATCTGGCTCAGTATCTGGCTCAGTACAGCTCAGTATTTAGCTCAGTATCTGGCCTGGTTCAGCTCAGTACTTAGCTCAGTATCTGGCCTGGTTCAGCTCAGTATTTAGCTCAGTATCTGGCCTGGTTCAGCTCAGTATTTAGCTCAGTATCTGGCCTGGTTTAGCTCAGTATCTAGCTTGGTTGTACCTGGTACTGCAGCAGGAACTCCTCCATCTCCACTCCCAGGAACCGGGCTTTGACGGTGAAGCTCCCTCTCTCCGGGCCGGGCACGATGTCGAACACCACGTTCCTGAACCTGGAACAGACCGGACACATGTTACGGTAAGGGCAGTAACAGTGACACGTGTTACGGTAAAGGTAGTAACAGTAACACGTGTTACGGTAAAGGTAGTAACACGTGTTACG